GAGGTGCAAGGAGGACCCAATTTTTGGGGGACAAACATTTTTGTATAGTACAGCCCATAGGCATGGATGATGAGCTCGTGGTGGACTTTGGGGCTGTTGGGCTCTGGCAAGGGGGTAGCAGGGAAAGGAGGTGCGGATTGGGGTTAGGGAGGTTGTCCCGATCCCCTTCCATCATGATAGAGAAAGGCAGGTCTCAGGCATTGAGAGAGGGAGTGGAAAGATATGCTGTGATAGGCACAGCGGAGTTTCATTATGATGGTCGATTAGACAGAGGGTGGTGATTGGCCTGATGGCATTTTTGTATAGTATGGCTCTTGGGCACTTCACCCAGCGCTCAAAACCACCACATATCAGGAGTTGGGCATGGGAAAGCGACAACCTGAGGTTTTGATCACTTGATTGGTTGCTTGATTGATTGATTGATCGGTTCAGTGGCTTATCAATTAATTGATTGAGCGAGTGAGGATTAAGTGATCGAGGTCAATGGATTGGTCAAGTGCTTGATTGATGGATGCATGGATTGCTTGCTTGCTTGCTTGCCTGCTTGATTGATTGATTGATTGATTGATTGATTGCGTATCCATCATGGTGGGAGGAGGAAACCAACGCTCACTGTGAATAAGCGAAAAAGGAAACTGGGCCAGAGCTGTATATAGAAAGAAGAAATAAAGTCGACGACTGCCTTTGCAAGATCATCCCTGTTTGTTGGTGTGATGGAAGGTTGACTTCATCGCTCCGCAATTGGCTGATGGAAAAGAAGGGGGAAGCAGGTAGTTTTCAGGAAGTAGTTGCGGTCAGTTGAAGCAGGGTTTTCATCGGTCATCGAGTTCCGGTTTGTTCGGAGAGAAAGTGTCTAAATGCGTGTGCGAAAGGTCTGTCGGATTGAACAAATAATTCTTTTGTCCATTGTTTACCGTTAGCTTGTGCGGAGGTAAGAGTTGCAGTGGCCGTCGATTATGACCAACGGCCACTGATGCGAGTCGACTGGAGGTTGAAGTTACATGGCTACGGTGCTTTGTCAGTGCTCACTTTTCTTTGCATCCCTGTTCTGCCGCTGTTCAGGTACATAATCTCCTCGTGTGTGGTTTTCATTCTAGTTTTTTCTCGCTATAACACAAGGCGCATTCGGTAAGTGAGGTGATTGGAATCTGAACGTGTCGCTGTACTGGCAGGTTGCCTCCTCCCTCTCGCAACTAACCTCTCATGTCTGGCCCTCCCCCTCCTGACACCCTGTGCGGGTCGCGTTTGGTATGCCCTCTAAATGTAGCCAAGCCTGAGCCGTCTGGCTCCCGCTTTTTGTATTCTCTCAAGGTTTCATTTGGTTGGTTATCAAACAGCTATTGGACACTGTTTTGGTCTTCTTCGGCTTTCCGTTTTCTTTTTTCTTTTTCTTTTTTTCCGTGGTGGTGAACCTTTGAAGTTTGAACTCTCTTTTGTTTAATATGTACAGAGTTGACCATGTCGTTTTTTGAAAAGCTGGAGATAGGGTGCAGATGGAGCGGTTCTTCGTAACTCCGGTTATCTGTCTCGTCTTCATCGCGAAGAGAGCGGTGGAGCAGAGTCTCGAGCTGTTGCAGATGTAAAGATCGGTCGATTTGCATGCAAAGTTGCAAACCAGTGTGGACCCCGGATCGACCGGTAGAGATAGAAGTTTGACATGAGGATAAGTATACCGTATTCCCGCTGCCCTTTTCTCCTTTTCTGCCATTAGGATGCAGGCCTTTGGGTGGGGTGTATGCCACGCATATGCCACTGCTTCTGTATGGCTGTGTATGCCTGTTGGCGTCTCTCGCCAGGATGCTCTTTTCTCATTTGTCTGCCACTTCTCTATTCAGTTGCTTTCGCCTGTTTTGCAATTTGTCGAACCCCTCCGTTCTCTGTGTCTTTGACTAGAATTTGACTAGAATCTGACTAGAATCTGACTAGAATCTGACTAGAATCTGACTAGAATTTGACTAGAATTTGACTAGAATTCGAACAGTGATCGAGTCAGAGACTCGGAGCTCTATTTGTTTGAACTTTGAAGGGACGAGTGAGTAAAGCGCAGTTGCAAATGTGCGGTATTGTAATTGTGGAAATTGCTGTTTGCTTTTTGTGGATCCAAGTTCTTTGAGGGAAGATGAAAGTGAGCTCGCAATGCCGTCTCATCATCGGCTGAACAGTAAGAGAGAAGTGAGTAAGGCGCCGTTGCAAATGTGCGGCATTGTAATTGTCGAAATTGCCGTTTTTTTTTTTGCGAATCCAAGTGGCTTCCAAAAAAAAAAAAAAAAAAAAAAAAAAAGGAAAAATGGAGAGAAAGGACGGCAGAGGGAGGACACATTTGGATCGAAGTCTTTTTTTTTTTTTTTTTTTTTTTTGGAACGCCAGGCAGTGTCACTAGCGGCGGTGATACGAGCAGCTTCCCATAGTGCACGTTCCAGATGCTCCATTCTCTTGGTGGGAGACCTGCGGGAAAACGGATAAAGAAAGGGAAGAGAACAATTATGGATTGAGAACAATTATGGATTGTTTGATTGACAAATGCGATGTATAGTATGTGTGTCCTGTTGTCCGCACATCCCACTCTCATGTCAGCTGCCTAATTCCCCTGCTTGCCTGTGTCTCTGCCAGGTTGCCTACGCAATGGCAGGCATAGGCTGTGGAACGTGGACAGGTGTAGGTAAGTGTGTTACATGCCCAGTTGGGCGATGTACATAATAAACCGAGGATCCGCAATGTGATAAAAAGGACTGAATGGACAATGCAGTGCAAGTGAAATCTCAACAAGCAGTGTACATTCTGATACATACAAAAATGGTGCTTTATAGCGCAGTGGAAGACTTAGATACGAGTCCTGACCTGACCGGGACTGACCTCTATCACGTAGTGTAAGGCAGCGCAGCAGAATGCTAGAATACCAATGACTAGCCCAATCAATGTTGCAACACAGACCAAACATACATCGTCCTCATCACAAGGTGTGAAGGGACCTGGCGCTATACACAGGAAGAAGGCGCCAGGCCCAGATCATGCACAGACGAAGAAGAGGAGGAGAGATGGGAGTGTTGTCAACACCAAGTCTTTGTTACTAGTCCCAAATAATCCCTCCTCAAAATGTCTGAAGCCCAAATGTCGAGTCTGGATCCAAATGTCACCAAGCTCTCTCGTTCTCTCGTAGTCTGCTGATGCAGTGAAGTCAGGTAGCGAGAGGGTGAGAGGGAGATGGTGGACTGAGAAGAGGAAGAAGAAGAAGAACTCTCTCTCTCTCTCATATGCCAGGTACTAACCTGTGAAGATGGCGCTGTGCTGCAGGTACCTTGAAGGCGAAGCTGGAGCTATGGCACTGCAGGTAAGTATCCCTGGCCTCCGCCCACTACAGTAGTTCTACTCTAGCTCCTGTGGCGCCCAGCGCTGAAGACTACTGCTAACGCTACTAGCGCCCAGCGCTGAACACTCCAGAGTGCTGCTGCCGAATCTTGAAGACTACCTCCTGCCTCCTGAACTGCACGTGAAGTGCCTGGGAAGTACCTAGGAACTACCTGCCGGTCTTCAGGGCGGACCAGTCCTATATAGTGCTGGCCCGTCCAGGAGGCTGCTCTTGCCAATGCCAAAACGTGCCAGACCCTGGCGTTGAAGCTCAACCTGGGGTTGTCTTGAAAACAGGCCCGAAATGGCCTGTGCTAAAACCCTGGTTTGTTGCCTGAGTTTCAGGGCGGGTCGAACTGACAAGGGCCTGAAAATGCCCCTCAGTTTCAGGCTGAAAACACTCAGGGCCGGAAAGGCCCTGATTTAGCCTGAAACGACACAGGGCCTGTAGGCCCTTGTTTTCAGGCTTTCAGGCTGAAACGACACAAGGCCTGTAGGCCCTTGTTTTCAGGCTTTAGGCCTGAAAACATAACATCACGGGTGTGATGCACGTGCAGAGGGCACGTGCGGAGATGGTGAGAGAGAGAGAGAGAGAGAGAGAGAGAGAGAGAGAGAGAGAGAGAGAGAGAGAGAGAGGAGATGGACACACACGAAAAGCAGCAGCTGAGTGAAGGTCCAGTCCCAGCTCAATGAAAGAACGAACAACTGAATGAATCGACTGACCCCGGACCTGGGCCTAGGCCGAAGTGTTATACCGGCCTAGGCCCAGGTACGGGAAACAACCTGGTACCGGACCAGGGTCAGGCCGACGGCCTGAAACTGGTCCGGTCTCACTGCTGGGCCGTAGGGGTACCGCTACAACGGGTGCAGCATGTAACAGTAAGGAAGGATTGTACTATTGCATCCGCGCAACGCTGGCACTCCTCATCGGATTCTGGTTTTTACTCATCTCAGTCATCTGCGATTTGCGAACGGCTGAAGGGAGGTTGCCTGTTGACGGGCAAGACTCGATCCCTTTGACGTTGTGTGTTTGCTGCTTCTTAATTGGTGTGCTACCGGCTTTGGTACTCTAGTATTCTGCTTTCAACTCGCCTCAGCAAGACTTATTATACGAGCTTTTGCATTTCGTTAACCTTTTTCTCATTGCATGGTTCCTTGCACTTCTCACTTATATACAGGCTATCCCCTTTTTGTGTGCCCACATGGACTCTGGTCTGTTTTTTTTTTTTTTTTTGTGTGTGTGTGGGGGGGGGGGGGGGGGGGGGGGNGGGGGGGGGGTTTTTTTTTTTTTTTTTTTTTTTTGTGTGGGGGGGGGGGGGGGGGGGGGCAGCAGCAGTAAAGCGGATGCAGTTTGATGGGCACTATCCATTTGCTCAAAATGTTTTTTTGGGCGCTTGAGAGGAATTGGAATTGGGGGGGCTCAAAATATTTTACCAGTCAGCGATTGGAATTGGGGAGGCAGCTGTTTGTCGGATTCACCAGGAAGCAATTTGAATTTGGAGGCGTTCAAGGGGATGCGGCGAGCGGAGGTATGGAAAGAAAAAAAAAAAAAAACTGAAATGCTCCAGAATTTCTGGGCAGATTAGATTTGTGGTTCAGCCCCCATGGATTTCTTGGCGATATCCTGGACAAAGCGGGAAGGTCCCGCTTGCACAGAGTAAGTGATGCCAGCCGTTGATCTTTTTACGGTTGCCTTTCACTAGGGGGCTTTTAGCCCCTCGAAACGGCACCTTGGCCGGTGAGTCCTCATGTGTTGCTTGTTGATTTAGGATTAAATAGGCGGCTGCCACAGCCTCCTCTGCTGGCAGCGTGAACTGGAGATGTTTTTTTTTTGTGCGCAGAGGGACAGTGGAAAAGGTCAGGGAAAGGAACAGAGAGAAAGAAGAGGTAAGAGAAAGAGAAACAAGAGGAAACTTCAGGAAAGAAAGAAAACCACAAAAAACTTGAAAAAAGAGAGAATGTCCGCTCTATACTACTGCAATTGGTGGTTTGGTAATGGCTGGACTTATGCTATTCGCTGGTTGGTTCCATTATCATAAAGCTGCACCAAAATTAGCATGGTTTCAAGACGTTGAATCTATGCTTAATCATCATTTGGCAGGGGACATCTGTTAAAACTGGAACGATACAGAGAAAGAAGAGTAGCATGGCCCCTCCCTGCACAAAGTAAGGATGGCACGCATAAATCGAGAAACGGTCCAAGTTCTTTGAGGGAAAAAAAAAGAAGAGGAAAGAATAGAAGACAGAAAGGGAAGGGAAGTGCGTTATCACATCACATCCTGTTCTTACACTAAGACGGGTGACAGCTACCGTCTTCCCCCTGAGCATAACACACCCTGAGAAAGAATGTATACAAGCTATGTTTCTGGTTTGGTACATCTAAAATGGCGGTGTGTTGTGATCGGGGGAAGACCGTAGTACCGGTGAAAATAGTGTGAATCAAAGGATTACATATGTGCTTCTCCTCGTACTTCCCGAGTCTTCTCTGGTGGCAGTGTGCATTGGTGCTGGGTTCCGCGACCGGAGTGGTAGTTGAAAGGACAACCAAAGAAAAGAGAAGAGAAGTGGAAAACGTAGACGTAATTCCTCTGGTGGCAACACGCATGGGTGCCAGTGGTAGTTTATGGTGTAGCAAAAGAAAAGAGGACAGTTTAAACGTTCGTTCTCTGGAGGCGTTATTGTGGGGTAGCAAGTGGAAGGCCATTATCGCAGCGCACCCTGTTACTCGAACAAGAGGCGTCTGACAGATCTGCGTCAAGTCTTTGAGGTCATGAATGAAGGTGCCAAGGCCCAGCAATGTCAGATAACGATTGTATGGTGGTGGTGGTGGTGGGGGTGGTACTTAGGGCCTAGTTGCACTGCTCGCCATCCGTCAACAGTCTAGAGAACCGTTCAAAGTGTTGGTGGATGGCGAGTAGTGAAACTAGACATTCACTATGCGCATTTTTACATGGTGCACACTGCACAACGTAATGCAAAAGTCACCTTGTGTATCCGATCCCCAAATCAACCTAGCCGATAAAAAGCCCTTCAGGTGAGCTCAGCTGATGGCGATCTTCGGAGAACGTCACGTGCTCTGAGCCCATGAATCAACCCACCAGACAAAGCCTATCAGACAAATCCAGTGCAAGTATTGCTTCCTGTGTGTGTCTTTTTTGGCCTCGTTGGTCCATCTCTTTGTCACTGCTCGTCTTTTTTTTTTTTTTTTTTTTTTTTTCCCAAAAGTGGTTTCCAGCTTTACTATAACAGCTGGAAACCGGGTCGGGCGTCCCTCACAACCTTGAAACCCAACTCTCCCCGTTATGGCCTGGAGAGCCTCAGACAGCAACATTGATTTACTTCCTCATGGGAAGAATGTCCCCTGATCTGCCCCGTCACGCTTGGCATCACCTCTTGAAAGGCAGGCCCAACATCCCTGCGAGGCACTGAATGCTATATAACCATGTAATTCCCGGCAGCATTGATTGCCCTGGGAGAGGGACCGCAGGGGATTGGCCGCCCAGGCTGTACAAGAATACAGACTGCAGCTAAACAGCTTAACTTAGACAGTCACTGCTGTCATGTGGTGTTTGTTGAGCATTCTGAATGGAGGATGGCAGCGAACCTGCCTCGGAATTCACGAGGCCAATGTGCAAGATCAAGGGGAACGTATGTGGACAGCCGTATATACCCACCCCCCCACACCAGGTGGACTGTTATGAGCCGGGGGTCCAATGCAATACCCCTTTTGGATAGAGAGACTTGCTCGCCCCGCGGCTGACAAGCCCTGGGAAGGAGTATGACGGCACCACACCTACCCAACCAGAGTTCGTGCCTTCGACCCCCCTCCGCTGACCAATTGTCTTCAAGTTATACGAGTGCAGGACCTTTAGAAGACCGGTTGCAACGTACGCTACAATGATGGAGTCCAGCATCTCGTCAGTCTTGGCCGAAAGACACCCTGACAGCAGTCGGATCCCTCAATGGCAACAACATGTCTTCAGGTTTTCGGCACGGGACCTTCCGATGGCCGATCACAAAGTGCGCCACTCTTGACCGCAGCAGAATGATGTCAACCTTATTTACCACGCGCAAAGCTTCTTGCCCTGGCTTTCAGGGCGAGTCGAGGCAACTGTAGCAGTGGCTGCTGTGGGGGTTCCAAGGGGAGGAGGTTTCCTGTTGCCAGTTTTGTAATTGAGTGTTTTGTGGGTTTCAATATTTTCCAGTTAAACTTCAGCCCGACGCCGTCAGTTTCGCCTATTCTACCCAAGCCTAGTGTCGCCTCGGTGAATTTCTGTATAATTTGTTGCTCCATTTCCGGGTTTGTCTGACTTGCTCGATGTTCCATCCAAGCCTGTGATATGTGAAATGTAGTTTGCGCCGTTATTTCTTGACATCTTCTTTTCCATTAACACCCGTATTGTGTACGATCCTGTCACCACCGTGCTCCCCCAATTCTCCTACGTATCTTACTTGCTGCATATCAGCATCTCTGCATCAGCACTGCTGAAGTGTTGCGAGGAAGATGCGCCTAAGAGTTTCCTTTTTTTTTAACCTGATATGAAATACTTGCACCAGGAGAGGGTCATTCCTCCCTGAGTCCCTGATCCAGGATGGACCCATCTACGATCCACTCCCCTGATGGAAGACCGCGGTAGGATCTGCCATTGAGACTTGTCCACTTGGCAGGGCTGATCTGTTGCCTACTGGCTCCTGACTCCAAAAAGTTTGTCACTATGTATCATACGTGCAACCCCCTGTGGAGTTCCGTGCGGGGGGTGGCTGTCCGGAATCATGCAGGTTTTTTATTTTTATGATTTTTTTTATTTTTATTTTTTTTTTTGGGAGGGGAACGAGGGGGCGTATGACAGGAAGATGGGGATATGGCGAGGGGGATATGGAGAGGAGGAGGAGGATGTGGACAAGGAGGACGACCAGGATAGCGAGGACGACGAGAAGTCGAGATGGGGGAGGAGAAGAGATGGATGGAGGGAAAAGAGGAAGGGCAGGAGGAGGAGGACGAGCGGGAGGAGGAGGAGACATGGACGGCGAGGAAGGGGACGACACGAGGAAGGGGAGGACACGAGGAGGCATGGAAGATGAGGAAGTACGAGGAGGAGGAGACAAGGAGGAGGAGGAAGGGCAGGAGGAGGAGGCCGAACAGGAGGAGTAGGAGGAGGAGACGAAAAGGAGAAGGGAGGAGGAGGCATGGAGGATGAGGAAGGGGACGAGGAGCAAGGTGAGGCAGTACTCCTGTAATTTTTTTTTTCATCTCGCTTATAATTTTGGCGGGGGGGCCTCAAATGCACCGTTTCGACCCCGACCTTTTTTTTCTGAGGGGGGTGACGGGTCGTTCCCCGCACACGTCATGCGCCGCACGGGATCGGTTGGGCGCGTGCGCCACACGGAGGGAACCGCCCGCACGACCTGTGCTTGCAAGTATGCGATGTATGCTCAGGGGGGCTTGCCACTGGTGCAGATCATGTGCTCTCAAGAGGGAGTGACTTTCTTAGCTCCCGTCTTCCTCTGACGCTCCACTGGGTCAAGGGGGGACCACAGACCAAAGCGGCTTTGAACGGGGAGTGACTTCTGAGGGCATGTCTTCCCTTTGCCGCTCCACTGGGTCTAGTGGCAAGCACACTGATAAGAATGGTCCCCTTGATATCACCACAAAACGGTTACCAGCTGTGGGCGCCTCCGCGTGTGCCAGGCCTGTGCGGGTTGACAGCTGTCTGACCTCGCTACCCGCTGGCTGAAAACAAAAGTTTTGCAGGTAAACTTGCAGTTGTTTTCCAAGTACATGAACGTCGTGAAGCCATTTGTGGACACATGGTGGCTGCTTCGTTTTGTTCTCGGTGCCAGGTTTGTTTTGTTCCATGGACGCGCGGTGCGTGCTTTATTGCTTCGAGGTCCAGGGGGCTTGCTGGGTGCTGTTTTTCGGTGCTCAGTTCTTCTTTTTTTTTTTTCTCCCTTGTACAAACAGTCTATGGCCCTGGCTCCTTATCTGCTATGGGGAGTGTCAGTCGGGTTCGTATTCCACCGGCAACGCCTCTCCCCTTCATGCTAGGAAGACCGGAATGGGCAGCATGGATTACTTCCGATATACCATCCCTCAGCGCTGCCTAAGGTAACTTTTGTCTTTAATGCCAAGCCTGTCCTTTGCACACTAACCTGTCTATATCCTTCTGTGCTGACCCTAAACCCTAGAAAGTCCACTGTTTGTGGACACAGGCGCAGGGCTACCTGGCACTGCCCCCCTGGGGGGTCGACTGTGCAGGCTGTCGACAGATTGTTGTGGTGCAGCCAGACAGCTGAGCCGGACAGTCCCCTGGTTGTCTCAAGCCAGCGAGGGTTCTAGCAGTATTATGTGTGGCACGATTCAGCCATGAGGTAGTTTGTGCCGCTATGACGGAATTCTCCTCCTTGACAACTGTGACTCTCAGTCTGATGCTATGCTGATACTCTGGGCTGCCATCTCAGGCGGTTGTGAACAGGTCTCCTCCAATTGGCTCACATCTCCTCCATGTGCGAAAAGCCTCCTTGCGCACACATTTTGGGTCCCTATGGAATTTCCACCACATTTAGGCGGAACGCCCACCAGTCAAGGCGTGCAGCGAATCTGTTGTGTTGGAAAGGAGTGACTGCGATGTACAGCAAAAACAACACAGAATGCTGTAACAGCTGTATGAAAATTAAGTACAATCTTTTTCTTAACTGATTTGAAGACAAGTGTCCTTACACGATACGAGAGTGATTGACTATTTGAGTAATTAAATGACAGAGAAGGCACTAACGGCAAGTTCTGAATCTTAATTGAACAGGGATTTTTGAAAGGAGACTTTATACGAACGGAGTCTGCCTTCCAAGCAGGGGATATGGGTTTGTATGGCTTTTTTTTTTAAGAGCATATATTTGGAAAAGGTTGTCTTGGACTCTACCGTTAAGCTATTTCCGCCATCAATCCACTTTGGGTGTGCTCGCCGTGAGACCTGGTAACAGGAAACCAATGGCTACTTCGCTGGAAGTGCCTGGAAGGCTCACAAATATTTCTGATTGTCATGAGAAAGGCGGATGTAGCCAACTGGGGCGTGGCAACTGTCTGGCGCCCGCCACAATTTGCAAAAATTGACGAACTAAGGCCTCATTGAAAATTAAGGACTCGCCTTCACTTAGGGCGTGCTTGTGTTTGTTGCAGTGCTTAGTTCTTATCTTATCTTTCATTCTTATCTTATCATACTGTTTATGGTAATGCCTGCTCTTATAGGCGGGTTTGGAAACTGGTCGCAAGGCTGGAACTTGAGGATTTGGGGTGTCTTTGATTCAGATGGATGTCTGAGTCGTTGAAGGTATCAGTCTTGAAAATCGACATATTATAAAATATCGGGGGTCCGAGTTAGTTCTCAAGGTAAGCGGTCAAGTGACTCCTAGAGAATTACCATCAGATAATAATAGAATAGATCCATCCTAGGCTTTTGCCCCCCCAAGTACGTTATGTGTGATTCATGAATGTATGAAGGCCACGGAGTGGGAGAGGCAGGATTCCAATCTGCGGCCGCCCCTCGAAAATCTCGGTGTGCTTGTAATTTTTGTGAAAATTTGCCGGCCTTGTTTTTTTTTTTTTTGACTCTTTGATTTTTTTATTTTTTTTTTGAGTAAGTTTTTTTGTTTGCCAAACGTTTGCCTTGTTTGAATAATTACACCTATTCTTTGATGAATGAAATCATATTTGACTTGACCTTCGAAAAATTCATATACCGTTTAAATTCACAAATCCCATTGGTTGTAAGGAATCACAGACTTGTTAGCTTTCTGAGCATTTTTTTCATTCTCATTTAAGATAAACAAGTGAACGCACCGCGGCAGGGGAGTCTATGTAATTGAAGAAGGGAATTTTCCATCAGAATGAGAATGAACACCAAGATGTATGAAGTTTTTACACTGGGATACTCTCTCTCTCTCTCTCTCTCTCTCTCTCTCTCTCTCTCTCTCTCTCTCTCTCTAGAAGAGCAAAAGATTTAATGCCGCGACCACACCCGCAACACATCTTTTCATCCCCTCCATCTCATCCGGGGTTTTACATACAAGAGAAGCAGCATAATAATATTTCTCTTTTCCCCCCCTTATGCCACCGCACTAGCCAACAGGTAAGTCTCCAACCCCACGGCTATTGAGAGAATGAGCAAAATCGAATGAATATTCCACTAGAATATGGAAATATACACAACTATACATTACTATACTCTACTATACCTCTGTGTGTGTGTGTGTGTGTGTGTGTGTGTGTGTGAGAGAGAGAGAGAGAGAGAGAGAGAGAGAGTTTGGGGGCAGGCAACACGCTCTATGTCCCTGGGTGGCAAGCAGGTGGGTATTGGCGAATGGAGGATCGGAAAGGGTCATGATGGGTGATAAGAAAATTGGAATGGAACGATCAAGGATCCCATGCATGAGGGGACAGTCGAAATGAAGAGAAGAAGGGGTAGGATGGGTCGCGATGGGTGGGGATGGGTGGCAGACATGGTTGGATGGACCGATCGAAGATCTCCACGACCGAATGGACACGGGATCGGGGTAGGGAGGGACGGGATGGGTGCAGGGATGAGCGACTGAAGGGAAGGATAAGCGAGCACGTCATGCGATAATCATTGGATGATTAAAAATGAAAATAAAAAATTGAGCGTTGGAAAGGGTCACGTTCGGTGTTAAACTGATTGCAATGGGAAAGAGATGCGGTGGGATGGCGTCAGGATGGCTGACAGAATGATTGGGATGGACAGATTGAAGATTCGCATGGGTGAATGGACAGCCCAGGTCGGGGAAGGAACGACACTGTTACGGGAGGGATGGACGAATGGAGGGTGAGGATAACTGGGCAGACAGATCGCGACGGACTGGTCGAGGATTTCCAGGGCCTAATGGACGTCATGATGCGGCAGGGATGAGACGGGTGTGTGCCCTCCCTTTCCTACGTTCCTCTCGATCATGCTACCAGCTGGCTACGCTATGCCACTCTCCTCTCGATCGTGCCGCTAGCTGGCCGTGTTCTCCCGTTTTCCTTTTGGATCCTCCTTCCCACCTTTCAATCTCCCCTGCAGTCTTTTCGCCCCTTGGTGTCCTCGCTAATTCCCATGTTATCCCGCTTTTCTTCCCTCTCCTTCATGTCTTCTCTTTTTTCCCCATATAGTCTCTTTTCCCTTTGGTGGCCCTCCCCCCTTATGCCGCTCGCTTCTCGATCGTGATTCTGGCCACCCTGCAGGGTGCCCACCTCTCGCAGTGCTTGCTATGTTACGATGCCATGCGCCCTGCCACGTCCCCACCTCTGCTAGCGTTTGCTCTCCTCTCGATGGCCAGTGCCTTGCCAACTGGCTATGTTATGCCCTCTCCTCTTGATCGTGCTGCTGTCCATTTTTCAACATCGGTCGGTTTGGACCTCCACTTAGTTTTACCCAAGCATCATCCTGGCCATGGTTAGATCATCCGGGTTCGGGTCCATAGATAGTGACAATAACCCTAAAAAGACTTGCTTTCGCTATGGCTCCGGTGGATAATTTCCCTCAACCAAGCCACTGCCTAGTTGTGTTCATTTGCTTGCAACGGATTTGAACGACGCTGGTCTGTTTCGATTCACATGTGGAATGGCGTCGTTCAATCGTAATCCAAACATTTCACGCTAGGCAGTTTTGGGTTGGGCCCTGCCTCAACGATCGAGAAACTTCGTAAGGGCACTGTCCGGTGGCGGCGAAACATGGGAAATATACACTTGTTTCTGCTTTTTCTTTTTTGTGAGAGAGAGAGATTTTCGTCGACAGGACCAACAACACATCAAGCAACAGGTAAGTCTCCAACCCTGCGGCTGGCCCCACGCTACTTCTATCGATAGGATGAGCAACTCAAGTGAATCTGCTGCTACAATGTGTGTGTGTGTGTGTGTGTGTGTGTGTGTGTGTGTGTGTGTGTGTGTGAGAGAGAGAGAGAGAGAGAGAGAGAGAGAGAGAGAGAGAGAG